CACAAGGTAAGCAAAGTAAGAAGTAAGATCAATCAGGCGAAGAAAGACAGACGCAAACACCCCTATTGACAAGATTGGAGGTGTTATAGGTAGCGACATCAAAGGACCCATGACATCCAAGGATAGACGTGGTAACAGGTAACTAATAAATTTTGTTGACTACTCTAAAAAAAACTATGTGAGAGTGTTTCTGGCAAAGAACAAAATTGAGGCGACGAAGAAGTTCGAGCACTTCTTAGTATGCTTTGAGAAGAAATTTAATTGCAGAATTCACGTACTCAGGACCGACGGGGGCAAAGAGTATACCAACGTAGACCCGTTCAGCAAGGCGACTGGAGTGCGTCGTCAGTTTAGCAAGAGGGAGAACCAAGCGTGGAACGGGAAAGCAGAACGGATGCACAGAACCGTGCTAAACATGGCGAGATGCATGTTATTCGCCAGTAGATTGCCCTTGTACTTTTGGGGAGATGCCGTCTAGTACGCAACCTACGTATACATCCGCAGCTCGTGCAGGGCGAACACGAAGACAATGTCACCACTAGAGATGCTGACAGGTAGCGCTCCGAACCTGTCGGAGATTGTCACGTTCGGCAGTCCCTGTACGGCATTCAGAGATACTGGTAAGAAGACTTGGAAACCAAGAGCACAAGTCGGTATGATAATTGATAAGAACGACGAGACAAAAGGATACAAAATACACTTACCAAAAGACCGGATTGTAATCACGACACAGCATATCAAGAACGGGGAGACCCGGATGCGAAGCAGAATGCCCAGTTGCAGGCACAACTGGAGCTCGAGGACCCAGAACTGAAGAAAGCAGTCGAAGATCGCGAGGGAGCCGCGAATCGGAAGGAGACGGTCGGTGAATAGTCGCAAGGCGGCGAGACGTCAGATAGAAAGATGCGCAGTATGTCCACCGGCAAGTCGAAAAAGAAGAAGGTACAGTCAAGCAAATCCATGAAAAGCAGTAAGAAGAAGAGTGTGAATGCAAGAGAAGACGCTACGGAAAGGGAAGGAGCAGCTAATGAGAACGAAGAACAAGTTCCAGCTGAAGAAGGACACTTAGCGCGTATGCGCACTCGCAATATGGGAACTAAACATGTGCAAGTGAACAGGGTGAATGCTGTAGTGTATAAGGACCCGAAGAATTACAGACAAGCGATGAAAGACCCGCGTGCAGACAAGTGGAGGCAAGCCATCAAGGAGGAACTTGATGCATTGGAGCAGAACAGGGGGCACGTGGAGGGTGGCGAAGGAGCCGCCTGGAGAGTAATGCTTGCACACCAAATGATTGTTCAAGCTTAAAACACATGTAGATGGTACTATCGAACGATACAAGGCGAGGTTGGTCGCTCGTGGTGATGACCAGGAATATCGTGTCGATTACACTTTCACGTTCTCCGCCGTGCTAGAAATGGTGTCCGGCAAGGTGGTCTTGGTAGTGTCTCGAATCTGGAAAGTTCCAGCGCGTCACGTGGATGTACCAAGTACTTACGTAAAGGCAAAGAAGGAGGCAGAGTTAGTCATCATTCTGTTGATTCCGCAGAGCATGGAGGTCACGGAGGAGTAGCTCAAGGCTCTAGGTGTGACCAGCAACTACGGGTTAGTACTGATATTGGAGAATGGGCTTTACGGGTTAAAGCAGTCAGGCAGGCTGTGGAACCATCTACTGCTCAGCATCTTGGTGTCGCTGGGCTTCAGCAGTACTATACGGACAGTTGATTGTACGTCAAGACAGAAAGCGACGGCAAGACACTCGCGGGTATCTACGTCGATGATATATTAATGACAGCAACGAGCGAGAACAAAGTTGACAAGTTCTTCAACGACATGCAGGTCGCGGAACTGAAAGATTTGGGCGTGGTCTCTAAGTTTCTTGGAATCACGTTTCACTACGACGAGAAGGACGGCTAGGCACTGGACTAAGAACAAGTGATCCGAGATATATTGCTCTAGTTTGAGTTAGGAAAGGCTGCGGCAGTGCGCACGCCAATAGGCAGCGGACAGGACGGTGATGAGCCTGGTGATCTGTTACCAAGCGTTGCTGCTGAAAGCCCGAGACGTCCGACAGTACAGAAATTTCAGTTTTTAGTGGGTAGTTTACTGTGAATCTCGATGTACACGAGACCCGACATCTTGTACGCGGTACATCGCGTGACGCGGAATGCACACGCACCAGCCGTGGCCGACTGGAGATTGGCAAAAAGGATCGCCAAGTACTTGAAAGAAACCAGCAAGTTGAAGTTCTTAATGAACTAATAATTAGTATAATGATTAAGCTACGTGAGCCGTTAGTGCTCCAGGTTGACAACCAAGCTGCCATTGCTCAGTTAGAAGGAGAGGCCACATCAGGGCGTGCAAAGCACCTTGACACGTGTCACAAGTTTGTGAAGAGCTTTGCCAACAAGGAGGTGCTGATCGTAGAGTACTGCGAGCCCGTGCAAATGCGTGCGGACATCCTGACAAAGCCCCTCCCGGCGCCACGACTCAAAGAGCTAAAAGGCCTCGTGATGTTATCAGGTTGACCGCC